GCATTTAATTAATTACTAATGTTTATTATAGGAGTACATATGAATGAAATGATGTGTGTTTAGTGTTTTAATTGGATATTAATGTTAACAGATATATGGTGTCAAAACTTAAAGAAAGAAGCGATCGATACTATTTGATAGTACCCGAACCCGAATGCGTTAATATAAGCTTCTGGTACGTCCCCACACGACTCAGGAATATGCCTCACAATAAACAAAAAGAACAAGAATTGGGCAGGGTAATTATATTTGTTGCCATTATGAGTAAAACATTATAATCAAAAGTTACTTTACTAAAACGTGTCTTTTATTGGCCTGATGTAAAGTTTGATATTTTACATTACATTTTTGTACAACGTTTAAAAAATAACTTTAATATAAATGGTTTTGAATTAATATAAGTAATGTTATACACTTTTGGGAAGATTATTATTTTTCCAATATCTTCCCTCCCAAAATATGGGATTTTCCTCCGGATGATATAAATTTCAAGGGAACTAATGTATTTATAAATGCTAATATTTCCAAATATTTCGCGCCTTTTTAAGTTTTGTTCAAAAAATGATTTAAAAATTAATTTGAATTAAATTAATTTAATAAATTTAGCAAAATTTTTTGACATAATATGCTTAACTAGATTGATAACTAGAACTAGATAACTAGAAAAAAAACTATTTATTGACTGATCATCGTTTGACCACATTTTATTTTATTTTCCTTGTTTTCAGTAAGATAAAATATCTTTCCTCTCAAAAATATATTCCCGGAATATATTCAACGGGGAGAGGGAAGTGTCTAACGTTAAATATAAGAATAATTACAATTCTAATTATACGCTGCAAATAATAGCTTTAATAAATACATAATCTATAATAATATAAATACAATTAATTATAATGTGAAACAAATGTTTTAATTGGCAAAAAGATAACACCAATACTGAAGGGGCGAATGATGAACGAGGGCACTCTAATGATAGGTTACCAACCGGTGGGCGATATTCCCAACTTCTTCAGGAACATTATATCCAATCCTGGCGTCCAAACCAAAGACATCGACCATTTACTCGACACGTTGGACCGTTTGGGTCACGATCTCTAATGTTTGCATTACAACCGGTGGGCGATATTCCCAACTTCTTCAGGAACATTATATCCAATCCTGGCGTCCAAACCAAAGACATCGACCATTTACTCGACACGTTGGACCGTTTGGGTCACGATCTCTAATGTTTGCATTGAAGTAACGATTAATTTACAATTCCGACCGATTTATTAGTTATAACTTATTAGTAATGAAATGCTCTTCAGTCGGACTGAAGAACAACTCACTGCCGAAGTCTTTCTTCTTTCACTGTTTTCTCTTTCCTCCCATTATTGTTGAGATTATTGTTGAAATTAAATCTTGAAATGTGTGTTAACTTTAACCCGAATGTGATGTAACGGTTGATAAGAATTAGTATTCAATCAAATATTTGCACTTTAATTATAAAATCCAGACAAACAACGAGTGAATATTTGTGTGAATACTTTGTTGTGTATAAATAGCAATATATGACAATATATAGCAATATTACATAAAATAAATTGGATTTTATTATATAATACTCTAGTCGTTGGCTAATCTGTTAGATAACAGATTTGATACAACAGTATATTATAGTATTAATAGTAACAGAGAGTTGCAATGTTTAGTAAATATAGTCATTATATTATGTGTTATTATAACGGATTGTCTCCTATAATACTAAAAACCAATGTCTGGCAAAAGCCGACAACAAAATCAAATGTCTTCCAAAACAGATTTAACAAAACCTATAGCCATCCAAACGGCTATGAATATCGGCTTAATATACACTGTATTCCATATATATGTATAAATATTATTCAAATTAAGCTCATTATAAACAGTGTCTTTTCATTCGTTTCCTTTCTTTCGTTTATCTTTTCTTAATCAATGATTAAAAAAAATATTTAATAAATTATAGAATTTTTATTAATTTATATATTTTGTCATTTTATAAGACATAACTATTTCTTGTCATTTATTTTTAGAGCAATTTTTAAAATTAATTTAAAAATTAATAATCAGTTTAAGAAATACAAGTTTCTTGTTATTTCCAAATAGAGATATGTTTATAACTATTTTTGAAGAAAATATATTTCATTTAAAGTATAATAATTATAATGACACAAATATTTTATGAATTGATATCTAATGCCTTGAGTTAATTGTATTAATGATCATCTATATAATTATGAATGATTTATTGTTATATAATAATAATATATCGTATGATAGAAGTTATTAATTGAAATGATTATATCTCGAAATATGTCATCAATGATAACATATTAAGACATTGTTATATCGACTAAATTTTACGAGTTATTAAAGTTTCAATAAATTCTATGAATATATCTATTTATCAATGAAAATATATAAAATCGATTGTTAACTGTTATAATTAATATATTAATGTAATGTATTTTTATTTGAGTGCCTGACTATTAAGCTTTAATTCAATCAATTCTCACACTTTCTTTAAACATAATAAATATTTACATTGTTTTGAACTCTAACGCAAACGAGGTTGGTTTACTCAAATTGTAACAGTTGTAAACAGTGTAAACAACTAGTTTATCCGCAATTAGATCACAACTGATAAACATTAGCTTTTTTTGTTAAATACTAATTTGTTTTCAAAGAATGTGAAAGAATTTATTTTCAAAAATGTAAAAACATTGCGAAAAACAATTCAATAGAATATGTTTTAAAAATCCAAGACATCATAACATATCATTGTCTTAAACATAATATCTAATTAATAATAATAACCTAATAATTATATAATACACAAGTTATTGTATGTGCTGTATATGTAAATTGTATTAACTTATCATGTAATTCTTATTAAATTATACATAATAGTAATTATTATTATTTAAGTTTTGTAATCATTTATTTTATAATGTATTTAATTTTTAGTTCAATATTTAAACCAGAATAAAATTACAAAATTTACCATCTTTCAAAATCCTACATCAATCTCTTTAAAACTATTTTTATACATTTAAAGTACCTAGCTAATTTACCATAAAAATAAATTGGAACTTAGCTTTTTAGTCTTAGTTTTAATATAATAATAAATATACCTAAATCTAATAAATACAACAATTAATCTATCAATTAATATTTTGCTCAGCAACAATTGTTCATGCTACTGTTGTAGATTTAATCAATTTGACTATTAATTGCTTGTAATTTTTTTTAGTGAAAATTGAATGTAAATTGCATAACATATCCAAACATTAAACTCATATAAAAGCCTATAAAGGGTGCGAAAGACGTAAAGCTATTGAAGGTCTGAATGCATAGAAATGTTACGAAAAGATTTCGCAAATTCTTGTGCAGTCAAGACGTGAACACAATTCCTATTCCTAGCGATCATTATATCACAGAATATGGTGTAAGTGTTGTGTGAGTTGTGTTGCCCTCTATTGGCAGTCAATGTGTTGACTATATTTGAAATCATATTTAAAAGTGAATACAATATTACAATACGAGTGATGAAAGTGTTGACTGTTTTGATGCATTGAATGCCACGTCGTTTCACATCAACTCCTCGTTTGACACAACTTTCAATCAGTGGTTCACTTCTTCGGCCAAAACTCTCGCACAATTAGTCCATTGTTTACTCATTTGATTGCTATATATTGTCACGATTACCGAAATGAGTGCCACATTTGGGCCAATTATGAACAACACATATAAGAAATGCATTCATTTCTTATTAATGATGACAACACTTATGATGTGTTTTAGGGATGTATTGAGTGTTGAGTTGACGTTTGAATTGCCAGACAATGCGAAGCAGTGTTTCCACGAAGACATCAGACAAGGCGTCAAATCAACCATCGAGTTCCAGGTCTGCCATCCATTCAACCATTGCTATCATTGATTCAATTGTAACACTCGTGTTGTCTGTTGTGTCTTCAGGTGGTGACCGGCGGTCACTATGACGTGGATATGGTATTGCAGGGCCCGCGCGGGGATGTGCTCTATCAGGGCGTGAAGAAGCAGTTCGACACATTCACGTGGACGCCGTCGGCGACCGGCACTTACACCGCCTGCTTCTCCAACGAGTTCTCAACATTTAGTCACAAATTGGTTTACTTTGACTTTCAAGTGGGCGAAGAAGCGGCGCTTCCCGGCACTCAAGAGCACTTGACCGCAATGACCAAAGTATGTATCACATGATTGTCTCACTTGTTTCTGCGATTGTCATGTCTGATGTCTTGGCAGATGGAACAGTCGTCGGCCAACATTCACGAGAGTCTCAATACTATGATTGACGCGCAAACACACTATCGTCTCAATGAAGCCAAAGGCAGGAAACGGGCTGAAGATCTCAACAATCGGGTCCTTTGGTGGTCTCTCATCGAAACAGGTGTTGTACTACTCATAGGCGTCGGACAAGTGATGGTTTTGAAGAACTTTTTCACCGATAAAAAGATATCAATTCTGACGAATACATAGTTCTGTTAATACAAATTGTAGTCCATTTTAAACCATTGTTTGCAATATTTGCCAGTAATTCAAATTGAATTTAATTTTCACCCTCTATTCAAATAAATCAATGAATTACTGCTCTTTTGATAGTTTTACCCAAAAAAATATTTATGTATAGTATTATTGGATTTGTTTTGCATATATTATACCGTAATATACAGACAAATTAAATCAGTTAATCCATTAGACAATTTAATGAATGCAATAATAATTATAATTTTAATAAATGATAAAATTATACATCAAAGAGCGCATCCAATGATGACACTCGGCGTCGATATTGATTGATATGTCTGAATCTGATTTGTATATATAATAAATGAATGTTTTACACATATATACAGTATATCAAACTTAAATTAAATTAATCACAATTTAAACAATGAATAAATAATGATTTTATGAGTTTTGATAACA